CTCGGGAACTAAGAAAGCTGGGAACCTGGTATTTCAAGGGAATGTTCCCTGTCCAGCTATAGCGTGCGTAATTAAGTTTCCGAAATTCGAGGACCAGTATGTACTAGAGGTTTTTAGCTAGCAGAATTTCGAGTAATTTTATTGCAGCACGAAACACTGCAAAAACGCATGATCGCACGGGGTCCCCCAGTGCACGTCGCCAATGATTCGTTGTGCGTTTTTGCCTATATGCAAACTGCAACCTAGACTGGAACGCACCAGGCTTGCCGGCTGGTGCGATCATGCGTTTTTGCGTTTGAACTCGCAGACCGCTAATAGCAGGAATGATCCCTACACTGTATCCTAACACTTTGGCTCATATTGGCCGTGCTTTGATCCCTTTCCCGCATGCAGGAGGAAAGGCGTCGGTTGAGTGAAGGTGGTGCATTATAAAGCCGCATGCACATCCAGGTGTATGATTACCATTTTTTGCATGAAGTCCTGTTGTTTTTTCCGGTAAATGCACGCTTTGTGAGAAAATGAAAAATGCAAATTTTTTGAAAAAATGCAAATTTTCAGTTCACTAAAAAGTGGAAGTATTGCTCGAGTGGTCGTTTTTCAAAAAATGCACGTTCATTTACATATGCGATTGCGGTTAAGGCCCGAGCTGCTTTAATTTACATGATGAATTATTGCCTCAAAATCTCTAGTTTGCAAATTACTTGGTTCTAGAATTGTAAGACCAATCTGAATTTGCACATGAAAACACATGTCAGAGTATTAAGAAAGATGAGTTAAATCAAGTTTATGGCCAGTCTGTGGCAAGAAATTGCGTTCCCAAAGCTGCATTTTGGGCAAAAGGAGTTGCAGGAAACGTGTGGAATTTTAAACCGCAGGCTGAATATGTGCCTGTGGAGGCAACAAAAAAATCGTATTTTTCCAAACTCGCATATGGTCATCTCTGGCTTTCACAGCTCTTATTTTCGACCATCCAGTCTGATACATTACGTTACATACACACATACTGCTGCGTGATAATGTGTTGTTTCACCTATGGTAAAAAACGTTAACCCGGCTTGAAACGCTCCAAGGTGCGACCATGCGTTTTTGCACTAAACTCGCAGATCGTTAATAGCAGGAATGATTCCTACGCTGTAGCCTAACACTTGGTTTCATATTGGCCGTATTTGGGCCTCTTCCAGCATACAGGAGAAAGGGTGTCGTTTGGGATGAAGGTGTTACATCACAGCGCCGCGTGGGCCTCCAGGCATGCGATTATCAGTTTTTTGCACGAAGCTAGTCGTTTTTCTGGCAAATGCTCGCTCTTCGAAAAAATGCAGATTTCTAGTTCACTAAAAAGTGAAAATGTTGCTAGGGCGATAGTTTGTCAAAAAATCCAAATATGTGAATGAGCTCATCTACATACTGGGAAAGGATGAGAGTGGTCGTTCGCTGCAAAATGCACTCGTTTTTGAGTTGAATATTTCTGCGGTAAAGTTGAGTATTTCTCATAACTGCAAGGAATTCCACCTCTGTGCAGAATTAAGACCATGCATGAAAGTAAAATATCCCAGCAAATTTTCAGCTTCGCACC